TTCTATGAGTCAATATGAGCGTCATTATGCAAACTGTTTGAAATTTCTCACCTATTTGAAACGTATAAATAATCATAGTATATGCCACAATGTTGGCTCTCGTTATTTCGTGAGAAAACAGTCGCTTCTTTAGCCTAGAATGTTCCGTTAAAGATATGAATGAGGGTGGGAATTTACGTCTTCTTTCCATTCCCACGATACAGTAACATCCACATGCTAATTTTCCATACCTCCACATGGTTCTCTTAAAGGAATGCCTTGCAAAATATTAAATGAATGAAGTGATATATGTCATGCATGAACATGAGTTATACTTTCAGTATTGTTCAGGCATCTAATTTAAGTATATCTGGGATTTCCAGGATTTTCATGAGATTCCGACTCCCGGCAATCCGCCGATTCTTCCTTGCACAAAAGTCACTTAATTCATAATTACTTTCATAAAATTGGAAAAGGTCGTACTATTCACCATCACTTTAACTTTTTCACACGTCAAGACGCAATCTAAACCCCATATATACTCTATTAGCTGACAATATAGTTAAGAAAATACAATTTCTAAACCAACAAGGACACACAACAACAGAAAAATTCATTTTATTTCATTCAATTTTGCTTGCGCCAGTGTAAATATAAATTCTTTGCGTGCTGCTTTTCGTCTAATGTACTATTCAGATATAGTGCCCGTACTGAAAAACTGTTTTCATACTTAACTTGAAAATATTTTTTTAGTTTTTTGGCGCTTCCGGCCCTTACTGAAGCCCATCAGATTTAGATTCTTGGCATTTTCCCGATCAATCCTAACACTTGACGCCTTTCTTCAGGAAACTTTCCAGTGCAGCGGCTAGCCGCTACCACGTGTAATCTTATTCGCTCAAAAGATAATCATCTTTACCTTACACCCTATCGAATTCCAGACTGCTCTTACTTCGAAAAATCTTTAGGTCTATAATACGAGAATTCTCGATAGACAGTTCCGAACCGCTACTTTGTTATGAAATACTCCTTATTTCTTCAACCTAATTGTCTCGTTCGAAAGTCAGGGATTAATTAGAATTTCTGACGATGAGGATGCGGGTGGGGAGTGTGGAGTGTGGGCGTAGGCGTGAGTGTCGAGTATGGCGTGGGTATGGGCAGATGTGGGTGTGGGGGTGAATGTCGATATGCATGGGCGTAGATGTTGAGACCAGTCTTTTCCCAATCCATACCCGCACCTCCACAGCCCACAACCACACCCGACTCATCAACACCCATAACCACATCCATGTCCACACGCACACCACCACCACAAAAAGCCCACACCCGCACCACAGTATACCCACACCCACATCCACACATTCACACCCACAGCCATATCGACATCCATACACCCACACTCTCATTGGTCGAATCTCTGAACTCGAAAAAGCCTCATTGGTTGGCTGTTCTGCTCAAAGGAATCTGGGTGGCTGAAAGCGCGAGGTCACAACCCTAATTGGGTGATTTTCTAGGTTGAGAGAATATAATTGGTCAAATACCGTAGGTCGGAAAACCCTAACTGGCTGGTTATCTAACTTGAACAATCTGATTGATCGAATCGTGGAAGTTGGAAAGCTCTGGTTGGGTGGCTCTATAGCTCGAAAGAATCTGTTTGATCGAAAGCGCCAGGTCGAAAACCCCTGATTGACTGGTTTTCCAGCTCGAAAGAATCCAATTGGTCGAATCCATGAACTCGGAAAGCCCTGATTGGCTGGTTCTCTAGCTCTAAAGAATCTGATTGGTTGAAAGCGTGAGGCCGAAAACTTCTGATTGGCCGGCTTTTTAGCTTACAGAAATCTGATTGCTCGAAAGCGGGAGGTTGAAAATTCCTGATTGGCCGGTTGTTTAGCTCGCAGAAATCTGATTGGCCGATAGCGCGAGGTCGAAAATCCCTGATTGGCTGATTTATTAGGTTGAAAAAAGTTGACTGGCCGAAAGCGCGAGGTCGAAAACTCCTGACTGGTCGGTTTTTTAGCTTGCAGAAATCTGATTGGTCGAAAGCGTTAGGTCGAAAACCCTTGATTGGTCGATTTTTAGCTGGCAGAAATCTGATTGGTCGAATGCGCAAGGTCAAAAACCTCTGATTGGTCAATTTTTAGCTTGCAGAAATCTGATTGGTCGAAAGCGCGAGGTCGAAAACCTCTGATTGGCTGATTTATTAGACTGAAAAACGCTGATTGGTGGAAAGCACGAGGCCGAAAATTGCTGATTGGCTGATTTATTAGGTTGAAAAAAGCTGATTGGCCGGAAGCGCGAGGCCGAAAACCCTTGATTGGCAGGTTTTTTAGCTTGCAGAAATCTGATTGGTCGAAAGCGTTAGGTCGAAAATCCCTGATTGGTCGATTTTTAGCTTGAAAGAATCTGATTGGTCGAAAGCCTGAGGTCGAAAACTCCTGATTGGCTGGTTATTTAGCTTGAAAGAATCTGATTGGTCGAAAGCGCGAGGTCGAAAACCCCTGACTGGCTGCTTTTTTAGCTTGAAAGAATCTGATTGGTCGAAAGCCCGAGGTCGAAAACCTCTGATTGGCTGCTTTTTAGCTTGAAAGAATCTGATTGGTTGAAAGCCCGAGGTCGAAAACCCCTGATTGGCTGCTTTTTAGCTTGAAAGAATGTGGTTGGTTGAAAGCCCGAAGTCGAAAACTCCTGATTGGCTGGTTATTTAGCTTGAAAGAATCCGATTGGTCGAAAGAGCGGGTCCGAATACCTCGGAATGGGTGATTTTTCAGGGTGAAAGTCCGATTTGGTGATCTTATGTTTTTTTGACCTTTTTGTTTTTTTGACCTGGCACAAAGCCCGCCACAAACGCGTTTAGGTTTTTTCCGTATCACCCTCCCTTCAGTCGAGGGAATAAAAAAAAACAGAAAAGTACAAAAAATTTATTTTCATTCGATTCAAATCTCAAAATACATAACAGTTGATTGTCATTTTTAGAAATTTCTTTTTAACTAAATAGAAACGAAGAAATATCGATGATTTAAGCAAAAAATCTTTTATGGTTACATTACGTCAGACCAATTGCGTCATGCAAATGAAATACAAGAAAGAGAACAATAGGAGTGACTAATGAGTACGTGTTATTTCCTAACACTTATTTGTTCGTTTAGAACAGGAGACCAAAATTTTGGTTCACTCCAGAATTTCAGCGACATTTTCGATCCGGACCGACAGTCATGCACAACATTAAATTTTGAGTATAAAATCTCTGAAGACTTTCGGTCTGAGCCTAAATTTATCTCATAATCAGCATAAAAAGTGTCATTTCTACGGATTAGTGATACACTACATAGCGCTGAGCAGGATGATATCCTGCTCATTTCTCTTTCATCCGGCTCGAGTCACCGAGCATCGACTCAAACAACGAATGTTCGAAAGCATAGGTTTTTTCAACAACAATAAGTTTCAAAATTAACCGAGTTCACAAGAATGAGCTAAAAGAAAAACAAAACTTCAAACTAGATTCGTCGTTTGTTGTTCTCAATGAAACCCAAGATAATCAAATTGTTGACCGTTAAAGGATCAAGATTCGAGTGTCTCTGAGTCACAATCTAGCCTACTGCACTGAATTGACATTCAACTGCAGTGAAACAGCATGAAACTGTGAATCTGCGTCTGGCAAAACGACAGAGAGGGTTGCAATGGCCAGCTGAATATATGGTCGTTTCCAGAAAGCTAGATGATCTATGTATTCTTCTTCTACTACACGTTGCCATATTGATTACTTATATAGATTCATGATCAGGCAATTCGTTGCCGTCTAATTAATCTCTGAATAAATCGTGGTGTGGTTGTGGATGTATGGACCTTCTCTTGAGTCACATCCACACCCACTCACACTCTCTAGCTTCTTGTCTGATGAATTATATAATAGATATCGTGATTGTCTTCTTGGAATGATGATTCCTCATCGTACACAGCTATGTCTTGTAGCTCATTGATGTGATAAACCTGATTTTGTCGATAAAAAATGTGTCCATTATTGTTTCGGTATTGACTTATTATACATACATAAATAAAACTACCAACTTGCTTAACGGATGATGAAGTAGCAAATCTCTTCGGTATGTCATATATGGGACATTTATTCTTCGCTCTTCAAATAAATCAATCTTTTTTTATAGGCTCGACATGCTCAATTGAATTGATTCAAGTTTCTGACATCACTCATAATTCCAGTAAATGACATGCGTCTCAACATGTGCGCAACATAGAAGAACGTCTACATCGAATTATACGGAAATAGATATTGGAAGATTGATATTGATGATGTAAATATGTATACAATAGTTGAAAGTATATTATATTTAGTCAACTTTAATTGGATTGAAAGAATAAATTCATCGAAACTATAAAACAATTGTTTGACTATTACATTAATAATATTCAAATTAAATATCAGACGAATTACAGTTGTGATCTGAAGATCGTATGATATCATATCAAGTCCGGTGTGGTGTCACTATATATGAGTACCCTAGTGGATGTGCTGAGTTCAAGGTATCCGGAAAAGTACTTTGCTACTAGTATGTTCCAGGAACTATCTTGAGGGTGAGGGTGATATATCTCTCCTCACCCTCGTTGCCCTACGAAATATGCTGGTTTTCAAAAAGATCACTTTGAATTCTTGAAAAAAATCAGGGTCAAATAACTGTGTAAATATAAGATTTGATGTGTCTTCATCTTATCATTTCAACGATGAAAATCGCAACTCTTTATCTTGTTCCTATCAAAAACTATTCGCAATCAAAGATTGCCTATGATTTTTGGACAACCTTGTGTAACTATTAATATCGAAGAATTGGAAACGAATGAATAAGATTATTTTCAATAATAAATTAGTTCTATATTGATAAGAAGATGTTCAATAAGTGTATTTTGTAACACGTTTTGCCAGCTTTTGATTGTTGTTTTGAAATAATCTCACTCATTTTTATTTTGATAAAATAATTTTCAATATATACTAATCAACTTCTGGCAACATGATATCAAACTCGTAAATTTAAATTTGTATTTGTTATCTTTACTTTCTCAAGAAATGTTCGTCCTTTTTCTCCGATTCGATTGTTGGAAAGGTCGAGTTCTCTGAGTATCTATGTAGAATAAGAAGAATGAATATAAGAAAGAAGAAGAGAGTATTTGTTTCACCTTATTATCTTTGAATGCATCACTTAGATGTTGTGCCCCTTTATCTTCAATTTGATTGTTGGAAAGATACAGTTCTTGGAGAGTCTGTGCGAAATAATAGAACGGACTATGTGAGAGACAACGAGAACATTTGTTTTACCTTATTATCTTTGAATACATCACTTAAATATTGTATCCCTTTATCTCCGATTTGATTGTTGGAGAGATACAGTTTTTTGAGTGTCTATGTGAAATAATACAAATGATATGAGAGAGACGAAAGAGATATTTGTTTCACCTGATTATTTTCGAAGGCACCACCTAGATATCGCGCTCCTTTATCTCCAATGTGATTGTTGACGAGTGAGAGTGAAGTGAGTGTCTAGATAAAAAATCAAAATGAATATGAGAAAGATGAAGAGAATAATTGTTCACCTGATTATTTTGTAATGCTTCACTTAAATATTGTACTCCTTGAGCACCGATTTGATTATTACCGAGCTGAAGTTGAGTGAGTGTCTATATGAAATAACAAAAATAAATACAAGAGAGATGTGAAGACAACAATTATTTTACTTTGTTATTTTGTAATATATTACTTAGGCATTGTATCTCTTTATCTCCGATCTGATTGTTGGTGAGGTGAAGTTCTTTCAATGTCTGAATGAAATAATAAACATGACTATGAAAGAGACGAAGAGAATGTTCGTTTCACTTTATTATGTTGCAATGCAACACTAAGATACTGTGCTCCTCGAATGCCAATTTGATTGTTGGAGAAGTAGAGTGAAATGAGTGTCTGTATGAATTAGTGACAATGACTATGAGCAAGATGATTAGAACAATTGTTTCACTTTGTTTGTTTGTAACGTATCACTAAGATACTGTGTTCCTTTGTCTCCAATTTGATTGTTTCCAAGAGATAGTACACTAAGTGTCTATGTAAAATAATAAAAATGAATATGTAAAAGAATGATGAAGAAAATATTTGCTTTACTTTATTATTTTTTAACGCATTACTCAGGTATTTCATTCCTTTATCTCCAATTTGATTGTTGAAGAGTACCAGTAAAGTAATTTTCTATATGAAATAACAAAAATAAATATGAGCAAGATAAATAGAATATTTTTTTTTCTTCACGTTGTTATTTTGTAATGCAACACTTAGATATTGTGTTCCTTGAGCTCCGATTTGATTATTATGGAGATAGAAATAAGTGAGTGTCTATATGAAATAATTAAAATGAATATGAGAGATATAAAGAGATTAGTTTTCTCTCTCTCTCTCTCTGTTAGTTTATTTTATGATATATGAGTCCAATGTTATTTTTATGTCTAATTAAAGAAGGTTTTGTTTAGTTTTTGAATTTTGTCAAGAATGAAAAAAAAATGATTAATAAATCTGTAATGTTTTGAATTTTATTTTGATCGATAAAGCGATAAAAGATCAGTGACAATAATCATTGTTGATATCATTGATAGAAAGTGTCATAAGAAACATTAAAATTGTATAGAAAATGTCGAATATTTCTTGGAAAGGTTTGAAAAAATAAAGTTCTTTAATAAATAAATTTTACTGAAAGGGTCTTGATCAGAATCATTGTATGTTTTAATAATATATAAAGAAAGAGATAATTTGTAAAATATGAAATTTGTTTGTTTTATTTTTCGAAAGAATACTTGTCCATGATTTTTCTTATCGTATATACAAAACACTTAGATCTAGAAAATTACATCGAATAGTAGAAGTCATTATGTTAGCCATAATTTGTCTATGGTCAAAATAATCGTAAAATTATAGAGAAACCATATAAAAAATCTGGTCGAATGGGTGTGGGTGTGGGTGTGGATAGAGTAAAGAAACACGCACACCCACACCCACACCCTTCTTTTATTACACACATTTTATATAGAAGAAATGGTGGTCACACATGAAAGAACAGAGAAAGAAGGTTAGTAATCGGTGAAAAGGTTTAGATCAATCAAACATAACGGTTAATAATCGTTACAACACGTTCTATATAGTGGCGGCGCCAGACTACTAGCGCCCCTCTTGTTTTGGGGTGCAGTGGAAAGTGGTGCCTCTACAATAAGCGTTGGTTTATCAGAAATACCAAGCACCAATCGAGCAGCGGCACTATCTATTGCTCTCTACAAAGCAAGAGAGTCGCTGTAGTTCTAGTTCCGACCCTAGCTACTCTGTTGGTGCTTGGTATCCCTGATAAACGAACGCTTATTGTAGAGGCACCACTTTCCACTGCACCCCAAAACAAGAGGGGCGCTAGTAGTCTGGCGCCGCCACTAGTTCTATAGAAACATAACATGAAAATAAAGCAAAAACAAATTTTCGTTTTGCATGATTCTTTTAGACTAAAAATAAAATGTTTATCTTTGCTTTTCTAAGAATAAATATAAACCACGAAATATTGCTTACCCTATTATTTCGTATTAAATAGTAAGCAACAATTTCCATATCTTTACAAGTCAGGTCTTTGTCATTCAAGAATACGTATTGGTTGCTTTGATTCTGACTGATAATTTCCAGAAGTGTTGTATTTATATATACGGGTGGTGATAATAGCAAATTTTCTTCCATTATTTCTAAAATAATGAAATAGAAAAATGATAATCGGTTTAATTTGAATCTTTACATTTTCTTATAAACGAATAAATTATATCGATACTATTTGAACAAAAAAATAAATCTCATACAACATAGAATTAACTAGAAAAATTTAATTATGATGATATACAAAATTTGTATCTGGCAAAGATTTGATTATATGAAGACAGTCAACGAGAATCTGATCATAAAAAAAAGACTCTTCTACTATTCGATAATATCTTCTGTTTAAACAACAATTTCATTAACTGTAATTCTATATGTATATACCTTGTTTAAATTCATTGATTGTTGTTATTATATAATTTTGAACAGTTTGGCATCGATTCTTTTCTAATGATGGTTGATCTTCTTCTCCATCTGATGCTGGACCTAATGAACAAAATATTATATGATAAACTCTTATTAATTAAGTCATATTCCTTTTCTTTCGTTGCTAAAAATGAATGTTTTTTCTTGTTATCTCTAGATTGATCAAAATAGATCCGTTTACGGCATGTTTGTTGAAAGTAAACAATGTCAAAATAGTACCTTTACGGCAGTAAATAGACCGTATTTACCCGCAATATCTGACACAGGAATACGGTACCGTAAATAGGACCGACTATTCATTGTATCCGACTGTATTCGTTCGGTAGTCTCATAATCATATGGTCCATTTTTCTGCATTAGATATTACGGCAAAATAGTTATAAAGGGACTATAAATGCCTGTATACGGACTGTATTGTTCGACCGGGGCCTAACTAAAAACTTTTATTTTTTGATCAATTTTCAACATTTTGATAAAAGATATAACTTCTATCATTCGAGAATATTACGTCGATTAACATTATGTATGTTAGAAAACATACTTGAAGTATTTGGTAGATTAATTTTATATATTTTATATAATAAACATAAAATTATAATAATTAGTATTGATTCGAACATCATTTTATTAATCGTTCGTCTACTCTAAAATAAAAAACAACGACGAATTAAAACATATTTCACAATTTCTTTTTCTGTTTTTCGTTAAAAAACTTCAATTTATAGTTGCTTCATCTAGCAATTGTGGTACTGATACAAAATTACTACTGACATGGAGTATTATCTTAAAAATAAAAATAGATTACAAGCGTCTTTTTAACTCGACCCTAATCCATTAAATCTTTCTGTTAGATTGGAGTAATTTTGTTTCTAAGATTTATTGGAAAAAAAAATATTTGAGTGATACGTACCTTGTTTATGACAGTGTAAAGATAACTGATCCTACTCACTTTATTTATTCATCTATAGCTATCAACAGATACATCAACAAAGTCTTATCAACATGCACACCTGTAATATACAAATATGACTGTTATTATTGATAAAACCTTAGTCTTCACATATTCTAAGTAAAAAATATGTCTACAGCACCACACGACTAAAGATGAATTTTCTTCTTCTTCTTTTTTCGACGAAATCTACGTATTCTTCATTACACAGACTTTTTTTTCCTTTATATATAACTCGACGCTTGTGACAGATTTATTATTGTGCTTTCTTTTAATATAAGAAAAACATATTAAAATCTAGTAGAAATATCTACTGCGCCATCATTGCTCTTACATTAGCAGCCGATTTTTCTGACTAATGTACATTCATCATAATATATTAAAATTAACAACCTTCATCATCAAAATGCATTACTAATGTCCATTTCAGAGATAAATGGCCGTAGGCATTTTTGAGGGGGTGTGGGCATTCTTTTCATTCACACTCAGACCCACACCTACAAACAAAAAACATCAGCATTGTTAAGTTTCATCATGAGATCATGTAAAGTCTATACATATAAAAGAACAAGTAAGGTTCATCGACACTGAAAGTCGATTCACTGAGCCCTAGACTGACGGAATGATGACACAGATGTCCTTATGTTTTTTGATAAAAATGAATTCTGTTCAATGATGAGTTTAGGACAAATCATTGATATTTGCAAAATGTTGTATATTCCCATGTGTTCGAATGCGATCGAATTGCGACGCAGTTACGCGTAACTGCGATTGCACTGTGACCCGTAATTGCGGAAAATTGCGGCGCAGCTACGCATAACTGCGAATTTTTTACCGTAGTTGCGCGCAGCTGCGATATTTTATTCGCAGTTGCGCGTAATTGCGTCGCAGCCAGTCGTAGTCGAACATATGATTCTTTTGCTGCGATCAATGCGCCGCAGTTACGCGCAGTTACGATCAAAATTTCGCAGTTACGCG